CTCATCTCAAAGTGGAGCAGAGAGGGAACAGCATGCCAGGCAGAGGGAGCCGCAGACTTCTGCCGTGTGCCTGCAGCCTGAGCATCAGTGCGCATCCCTGCCTTGTCTGTCCCCGCAGCTGGCCTGGGTGGTGGGTATTAATTGCCACTTTTGTAGTTGAGGAAGCTCACAGTAAACGTACCAAGGATTGCACACTTAATAAAGAGCAAAGTGGGAGAGGCAGGTCTCAAGGAGTCTGACTGCAGGCTGCACGGCTTTAGCCGGCGGGCCAAACTGGTAGCTGGGGGCATTCTGCAGGCCCCTGGACTGAAGCACCTGTGAGAACAGTTCAGCCAGTGATGGCCCAGAAATCCATTGTATTTGGATCATCCAAAGGTCTGTGCTGTATCTGGATCATTCATACCAAGTGGCGTCATTTTTTCAGGATTTAATATCTGAGATGGCTGAATTAAATGAATAAGGGACATTATAGGACATGCAGTGCATCGTAGGACAAGATGCCAGATTGTGTAGATTTTCATTCTTGGTGTGCCCATGAGCCGGTGTGATGCTCCAGGCTGTAGTTTTCCTGTGTTTGAAATGAAAATGTTGTGCCCTGTGTGTTTTAAGGTTGTGCCCTGTCTTGTTCCTAAGGTGTGTTGTAGCACGAATAAGATTCTTCTTTCCATTCCGTTAGAATGAAGCAGCTCCTTTGGGGCATCTAAGATCACATGCACAGTCCATGTGTAGTGAGGAAACAACGTGACCTCATTTTCACAGAGGAACCCTCAGTCTCCCCCATCATAGCATTGAACTTCCCTAGTGGGGAACATTGCCTCTAATTATCCTTGGTACTTGGGGAGCTCTGACTGCATAGTGTTACAGTCTAGCAGGATGGTGCTCGACCATCTCCAGTTGTCCTTCAGCGGTGGAACAATACTTCAGTTAGCAAAGGGCGTTGGAACGTGCGTGCACACGCCGGTCCAGGTGCCCTGCTCCCCGGCGGGCTGACCGAACGGACCCGCTGGGCGAGGCGGGGTGGGGTCTGGCAACTGCGAGTCCCTCTGGCACTTCCCTTTCTACATGGCAGGACCAGTGGCTGAGGCTCAGATCCGCGAGTGCTTGGGAGGCCCTGGCGTCCTTGGTGCAGCCCCGTCACCTGCCTACTTGGCCCACTGGTGATTAGCCTTTGGCCCACTGGTGATTAGCCCTGGAGCACCAGGCCTCCCCGGGCGGGTTTTCTGTCCTCTGGCTTGATAATCACACGTGTCCTCCTCCTGCGGCGAGTCCCGGCAGGTCAGTTTTGCAGGTCACTGGCAGCTCTGATGACGGGTTTACTGGGGGAAGAAATGAAGGAGGTTAATTAATTAAAAAGGGACCCAGGCCTCTGTAACTCTGTCTCTCCGGGGTGTCCTTCCTGCCCTTTCTTTCTCACCTGTAATTTAGAAGTGATTCTTCCGGCCGTAGGCAGTTTCCAGCCTGCTAACAGGTCATTTGGAAATCAGGACACATTTACTTAAGGAGGAAAATTGCGGAACAGATCACAGAAGCCTTTACGTTAATTTATTCTCCATGCAGTTGTCCCAGCTGGTTCTCTCTCTGAGGAGGCACTCTCTGCCCGGTCCTTACTCCCTCTTCTTCTGTGACCTGTATAATTAATATAGAAACTGGGCCACTCCGTCCAGAGCTGGCTGTGTGTAAGAAAGGCTACAGCAGCTTCTAAAGCATTTGGGCCTCCCCTCAGTCCTGGTCTCTGCTAGCCATCAGCAGCAGGGTCACTGTATGGGTGGCTGCTTGCATGTCTGGTAGCTCAGGAGCCTGGGGGGAGCAGTCTATGACAAGAAAGGCAGAGAATTTGGGGGCTCAGGCACACTTAGCTTGGAGTCCAGTCTCGGCCTTGTCTGGCTGTGTCATCTTGTCTGGGTTATTTAACCTCTGAACCTCCTTTTTCTCCTTTGCACTGCGGGATTCATAATAACTTCTTTGCCCAGCTGTTTGCATAGTCATGAGACATGTATGTCATTTACCTGGAACCAGGAGCCCCCAGTGAGTTACAGCTGAGTAAGGAGTGCCCCCCTCCATGTTGCCTTAATTTTACCCATTTCTTTAAAAGAATAACTATAACTGCATTTCAAAGTTAAGGATAGTTGCAGCAGATACATCACTTGGCAACTTGAGCTACAGAAAACTGATTCTAGAACTTTCACAGTTAAGGTACTATTTCCACCTCCAGGCACTGCTGCGTCTCTGTTATTATTTTTTTAAAGCCTTGTTCTTTGTGCCATGTTCTCAGTGAAAAGTGGGCTTTTTGGCTTCCTCCTTTTCATTTCTGGTGAAATTACAGCCAGTGTTGTGGGGGATCAGGAGGCACCCTGGCCCCTGATGACGGAGAGGATCCCCGAATGACAGATAACAGACCGATCCCCAAAGGAGCGCAAAGGTGCTGCTTCGCAAAATCTCCAGCTGTGTGAGGAGCTTGGAAGAAGCCACATTGTCTGAGTGTCCGCCCAGTGGCAGAGCTCCGGAGCAGGGGGGTTTCTTTTGTGACAGTTAAGCTGGGCCTCCATAGCAGGTACAACACTTCTTCTCTGTGGCCCAGCATGCACCACAGTGTGTCCACAGGGGGTGGCACGGGGAGGCGAGTTCCAGTTCTGCCAGTTGCCATGGAATGCTGGGTAGAGGCACTCCTCCAAACCCGAGCTGCTCTGTGCAGACAGTTCTAGTTGCCTTTCAGGGTGTTTGATACCAGGCACCGAATATGTAAGGGGCAGTAGTGATAGTAACAAAACTGTGCAGAACAGATGGATCATAGTAATAAATGATGAATTCGCCCATGTCAGTCTTAGGGCCACAGATAGCATGTGGAGAAGCAAGAGTGCAGGCCCGGGAATCAGAAGACCTGGTTCGCCTTCCCACTCAGTGCCTCGGTGGCTCGCATGCCCGTATGACGCGGGACAAGTCGCCAAAGCGCTCCCATCTTGGCTGGCTCGTGTGTAGGCTGGGTCCCCTGTTGTAAGGACCTGAGATTCCTAAACGTGAAGGGGCTTTGAAAACTAAAACTCTCCAAATCGAGGCTGTGCGGCCGTGATGTCCACATTCTGTGCTGAGTACTTGGTATTTACTGTGAATACCCACCTTGCTCGGTGACAGATCGTTTTACGTCCACTTACAGCCACCCCATCGGGATGCACACTAACATGCCCCTGAAAGCCGCAGTCTCAAGTATGCCCGCCGGAGTTCCCCAATACGTTTACTTACTGTTTGTCCATTTCAGGGTCGTTTGTCAGGGCAGAAATATTTCTCTTACTTGGCAAGAAAGAAACAAATTTAGTCTGTATTGGGACACATGGGTGTGTTAATAGATCATTCTTGGGTGCCCCCCACCCCACAATTTGAGCAAATTTGTGTCCTCTTCCTTCTGTTCCGTGCTGGGGCCTCTGCACCTGTGCCACACAAGTGCCGACCGGCTCTGCACAGCCCCCGCACCCTCCACACCCTGGCTGGTCCTCTCCGGATTTGAGAAAGGGCTCTGTGGCTTTAGCGGGGACGCTGCGGAGTCGGAGGGCGGAGCTGCTTTGTCGTTTTCTTCTTTGACTGACTTTTAAGTCACTGTCTGGAGGAGGAGCTCATTGCAAAACTCATTAGCAAAACGCTTAGATTAATTGAAACTGACAGATGTTATCTTGGTGCCAGTCTTGCCTCATGTGGACTGGTCACGCATTTCACAAAGCTGTGTCTCCCCCTTACGCCAGAACCACAGTAGAAAGATGGAGAAAAGTTACTCAGCCGTTTTTCTTGTCATGCATCAGTCAGGATGCCTTCCAAAATATGTAATATAGTACTACTATAGAACAGTATGATATAACAATATAAATGATAAATGGTTATTTGGGGATTATATAGGTTTTACCAAACACAGAAGCATGAAGATAATATCAAAATTGCTAAATACAGTTTTCAATTACTGAAGCTTATTATTATGTTACTAATGAGAACTAATTGCCCCCAAATTTAAAGTATTTAACCTCATTTGTGCTTGTACCTTTGGCGGCCATGAGGGTCACCCTGAACTTCCCAGCCCCGATCTGTGGTCAGTTGAACCGGATGTGGTGGGGCAGTGCGGCCCAGTGGTGAGAGCGCCTGTTTCCGGGGCAGAGCCCCTGCTGCCTGGACTCCACCTGTGCCAGCACGTGTGTGTGTCCTGGTCAGGTTACTCGGCGTGACTGCGTAAACGAGTCCAACTCGTTGAATTGTGAGGCTGTGTAGCGAGCTCTTACATGCTGCTTCCAAGCTCTTCCACTTACTCATGTGTTTCAGGTGTTATATAATTATTTCATAGTTTAAGAAAACAAGCGAGTACCAAAAAATGCCACTCTTAGATCTTAAAACAGTAAAAGATATAGAAATGAGTGTTTTCAGAATTTTACGTCCCTGTAACTTCATCACATCATCACTTAAGAAGGTTTTAATTGACTTCAGATGCTAACAGATACTTTGAGACTCCCTTGGGAGTTCAGCTGGTTCTAGACCCCACGCTGACCCACGCCCACAGGCAGCCCGAGCACAGGCGTGGTAGCTGCACCACTACCAGCAACCGAGGGGGCTGTACCTGGCCGTGCTCTGTAGGGCACTCTGGAGGCAGGACTGCATGGACCCGTTAGCGCGGGGAGAGTGGCCTGCCTCTCACACCTCCTCCGCTGACGTCCTCTTGGCCTCTCGGGAAGGAGCCAAGGCCCAGCGAGGTTAGGCAACACCGTCGGTTCTGGCGGAACTGCATCTGGAGCCTGGGCGTCCTGCCGGCCAGGACGGGGGTCTCTCCTGAACCGTCCCAGCACGAGGAGAGAGATGAGAGCTGCGTACGCTGGAGGAGACGTGGCATTTTAGAACACAGATTCATCGAGCATTGAAACATTTGCTGTTGTAGTGACACCAGCTCTTCTTTAGGAATTATCATGAGAAAAAAATTGGAAAACTTATTCCATTGACCAGTGATGACCAGTTATTGTTCCTTTTGTCAACAGGCAAGATGAATGAAGTTCTGGCAGCTTCCTGTGTCCCAGGCCTTGTAGAAATAAGTGAGACGTGCTTCAAAGTTCTAATGTGCACCAGCCACATCGGATCTTGTTTCAGGAAGCGTTAAAAGGAACCCGCCGTTGCCTGTTGAGAAGGCTCTGTGCTCTCAGGCATTGCTTCTGCTTGAATCCAGAGGTCGCAAGCATGCCTCCCTATATTACCTGTTGGAGCAGGTTTAATTTTATAAATTTGAAACACAAACTCTATGAGTTTCTAGTTCATAATTGTTCTTTTGGAGGATCCACTCAGATGAACAGTATTGCGTCCGTAAGAGATACACAATTCCACTGGACCAGAACTGATGGGAATGTGAGTGGCGCCAGACTCCATCCGTATCTGCACCCAGTACCAGTGATGGAGAGGACAGTTTGCCAGGAGACCCCTCAAAGGAAAGAAGGCACGTTGTGTTGGAACTGCCTACAGATTCCTGGAACTGTAGGTTTAGGAAGCCGAGGCTTTTTTTTTTAACACAACATGCATAGACTATAGTTCTTGACTGGAGGCTTTCTTCCATTTTTATTAGTCATCTCCTTGGATAGTCTCAGATATTGAAAGTCTTAAGCTTTCACTGAAAAAAACGCAGCTTTGAGACAATGCAGGTTTGCTGCAGTCTTCTGGGTGAGTCACTCCAGCGTCACACTCCATGTCCTCGTGGGACACACAGCAGGACCAGGTGGTAGGAGAGAAGTGGGGGCAGACGAGAACGGCAGAACGGGCATATTGCATTGCGTTATAAACATACTTTATAAGTACATTTCTTACTGGCTTCTTATTCAGGCACAGGTTGTAAAACTTTGCTCTAAGTATTCAGATCAGGATTTGTGCTTGGGAAATTACCAGTGTCCACAATACCTGCAGGGAAAAAACTCAAGTCTGAGCACTCTTTGTACCTAAAAGAATATTTTTGTCATTCTTGTTTGTTTTGGCTCTGTCACAGATTAAAAGTGCTTGGAATGCTGTAGTCTGTGGTCCCTTGAAATTCCATCAGTGAGAACCTAACACGTTCACAGTACGCTGTCACTTTGGCCATTCATAATAAAAATTGAAACTAACTTTGATTGCTAGTCATTTTCTTTGTGCTTCATCTCTGTGTAGCAGCCCAGAAGTTTGTTTCGCCGTGCAGCTGGGCACAGAGGCGTCCACAGCACAGGCCTTTCACGGCCTCTTGCGTTGGGTCCCTGTCAGATTCTATGTTTGTTATTTGTCGAAAGGCTGAGATAGTTTTGAATGTTACGATCTTTTTTACCATGCATTCCGCAACATGGATTAAATACAACTCCTAAAGATCGTCCCTTAGCCATCTTCTATTTCTGCGTATACTCCATTTTCTGTTAAATTGAATATAATTCTTTCTGATTATAATGTTCTCTATTAAATAAGTGGAAGATTGGAGAAGGTCGTGGGTCCTGTGGCCACAGCTCTCAGCTTTTCAAGGGCATCTGTTCCGTTTGACTCTGCCCAGTGGGACAGTGTCTTTTCATTGACTGCGCCATGTCCTAGTAAGAAATCTAAAAAACTGCAAAGAAATCCAAACATGGGCACCTGTAGGAAACTTAGCCCTTGCTTGACACTTTGACCCCATTTGATACAGAAATAAAAGAGGTTTCTTTCTATTCTTCAGTAACTAAATTGGCATTTGGCAGATTTACAGGCTTCACCACTCATCCGGCTCCCCCCTCCCACCCCACCTCCTCCCCTCCCGCCTGCCCCACCCCCAAAAAGGAACAGTACAGATCTGAGGATTCGCCTGGACATCGGCGTAAAAATGAGCAAATGATTGTGGAGCTCTTAAATGAGGAAAACATAGAAAGGAGGTTCTGGGGTTCTTTTCCATGGATGAGGTGGGAGGACAAAGAGAATAGCGAACGAACTTAAAAATAGGACAGTTCCTTCAGAACTGAGTTCCTGGGCAGTCCTGGCACTTCGCTGGAGGGGCATTGCTGATGCTCAGGTGCACAGCCGGGGCCCAGCTGCTAAAAGAGTCGGCTTTTTAAAAATCCCAAGGCACAATAGGAAGGGCAGAGGTTGCTGCTTTTGTTCCCTGGGTGCATTGCCGTTTCCGGGGCCCCCACTGCCCTCTGCCCCAGCATCTGGACCAGCTCTTTATGGAGCAGCATGAATATTTAACAGGCCGCACTCCGTGGCAGCGGGACAGGAAAGCTTTCTAAAGTCATCGGTCTCTAGGGACTTCCAGCACGTTGAGTGGGTTTTAAAAACAGTATTAGGTGACTTTGACTGGCTGAAGCTCTGGGGCATTCACACAGTTAGAAGGAATCCTGGATGTGGGCGGTTTGGTTTTGTAAGTGAGTTTTGGCCTCTCACTTTGAATTCTAATACTGAGATCTCATTCAAATGAGATGGGTGGTCTTAAGGAATTTTTTTATGTAGTTAATAAATTCTTTAGAGAGGAGAAAAAGAACCCAAACATCTGTTTCAGAATGGTCTCTGTATAGGAATTGCACATAGCTATTTACTTTTATCCCAGGCAAGTCATCTTTTAAATGATTTAGGAATATGAGCAATTAAGAAAGGGGTCAAATCTGATGCTTTAGCAGAAAGCCTCTTTCTACTCCTTACTAGCAGTCACTCTAAATGTGCTATTTCTGAATCCCTTTGTTGAAACAGGGCCTATCTCACCCTGCAGGCATCGGATCTCTGTCGTTATGGCTGGGCTTTCCTTCACCAGACAGCGTACCAGGGGTGGGGCCTGGTGGGGCGGGTCTAGCTATGGTTTTATAGACACTGACTGAGCCTCTTCGTTTATGTGAGACGTGCTCTGTTTACTTCCCTTGTTTCTTCCAAGGCACACACCTCTTTCAAATGGTTTTTAAAATAGCAGAGAAAAAAGATTCTACCTGTGGCTTACATGGAAATAAAATAAAGCGCATTTTCACACATTGTATGTGTTGCTCCAAAAATTAAAATGTTTAATCCCCCAATGTACAACTAGATCAAATGGCTATCACTATAGACAGTTGAAGAAAGATTATAAACCAGAAACATGCGTATGTACACTTTTATCTAAACTTTTAAATACATGCTCAAGTACCGTTCATACCGTTCATACAATGAATATGAATGTTTAAATCCCCCAGAGAAGTCAGTGTGGTTTTCCGATCGCTAAGGCGCCAGCTCGCACAGTTAGGAAAGAGCCTGAATATACCTTTGGCAACTTTGTCTGGTTGTCGTGGATCAGGAGAAGGGTATTATGGAGGAGTAGCATTCGCCACTCAAAAGATGTTTTCTTTAATGTTTGAAAACTGAGACAAATTCTTACTTTATGTCATCTGACAAGACCTTCATGAGGAGTCGTGTTGACAGTTAAAAGCCCCCCCCACACCCGGTGCTGACAGGGAAGGGGGAAGAGTCAGTGAGAAGGAGGAGGTGTCCATGTTATCAAGAGTTTGATTTTGCCTGTGTAGACATAAGCATGCGCCCATGCACACACTTCATGGGGCTGGAGGTCCCAGCAGAGTGACCAGAATCCACCCAGGTTTCAGAGAGGCAAGACCTCCAAAGGTGAGGCCTGGACGGAGACCACCGCAAAGCGGAGGCCGGCCGGGGGTTCTGCGGTTGGAGCCGGGGCAGGCCCGGGCCACGCCTGTGTGCAGTGGTCCTGGCCATGGGCAAAGCCGGTCACCTTCACAACGGTCTGCCTCCAGCCCCCAGGTCTGGCTCTTGATGAGAATGTTGTCCCTTTGTCTCCAAAGACCAGTATTCTTCCGTCCAACACTCATTTATTCACTGTGCTGAGACCAGAGGTAGAGCAGCGGATTAAAATGATGCTGATGCCCATCACTAGGGTCTGCTTATGCAAAAGGCCTTCAGGTGTGTGTCGTGCGGAAGATGAACGCAAGAGGCTCACCCAGGCAGGTAGAAACCAGTTGTTTCTCTACAAATGACTAGTTTTGTGTTGGCTCAGTTTTCCACCACAGAAAAAAGAAAACCATTTCTACATAGTTTATCTTTTTGCTCTTTTCTAGCCAGTGACCAGTTTATTGTTCGTTTGGTTTTGAGAATCCAGGGATTGTTTACTTGACATGAGTGAGCCTTCCCCTTTCAAAGGTGTCCTGTTTCCAAGGACTTGCCTGGACTGCGGTTGCCTAGCAGCCCAGTTCCCGGGAGCAACAGTTCGCAAACACCTTCTCTGGGTGGGCGCTCCGCGCAGCAGCCCCTAAACAGGATCTCTCTGTTTCTAAACCTTGCAACTTGGGCAGGGGAACAAGTGCCGCTGCGAATGCTGCCATTAAATTCAAAGTGAGAGGTGACGAGTTTCAGCTGTTCGTGGATGGGAGGAAAACCTCAGGCTGCTGTTGGGCACAGTGACTTGAGCTTGAACCAACTTTGGAAAGTTATAAATGGAACACGAAGCTACTTTTACTCTTCAACTGCTAGGATTCAAAGTTTCTTGAGAGGTCTCTCATTACTTTTTAAGAAGTATATTTAATGGAACAAGAATAGACTACAGCTTGGGAGTAGGCAGAATACATGGCAAGTTATTCTTCCCTCACATTTTTCTGAAGTGAGTTATTGAACCTCGTGGAGCTTTGGTTCCTCGTCTCCAGAGAGGAGACCGTCGTGCGGCCGTTTGCCCCTCTGTGCGGTGAGACTACCGCTGACGTTTGGTGGTTACAAATGGTGCGTGGAACGCGTTCAGCGTGGGAACCGGTGGCCGCCATTGCTCATCTCTAGGCTGAAGCACTGCTCAGTCCGTTCCTGCGTGAGGACGCACTGCTCGGTCAATTGGGGTGTCCGCTTCGTGAAAGTGAAAACAAGTAGGGTGACTGCCAGGCTTACAGCCCTGGGCGATCAATTGTCCCTGCCTTGGGAGCTGGTTGGAACTGTGATCGGCCCTGACACTCAGAGATAAGGCCGTTGTGTCCATCCGTTTTCCCAGGGTCGGGTGGGACGCCCCAGGCTTTGTGACCGAGTCTGCTTGGCGGATCACCCTGAGAAAAACTAGAAAGTGCAGGCTTTCGAAAAGGCCAGTTTGACTCCATGAACTTGGGGTGGGCACATTTGCAGAGGACACCTCGTCACAGCCCCAAGCACACCCCCAGGGACAGCTGGGATGGGAAGTAAGGGAGTGGGGTTGCCGTAAGTTCCCAGGTCCTTGGTGCATTGGAGTGTGACACCCGATTATATTTTTAATCTACTAAGTCTCTCTTCTCCTCCATTCTTTTCAAATGCAGCTATTGTTTTGTATTCATCTCAAATAAACAAAAATTAACTCCATTAAGAAAAGAAAGAACCACAGACACAATGCCCATTGAGGTGAAGGTGATTCAGAATAGAAAGTCTGTCTTGTTTTGTCCAGGGTAGTCTTTGGGGGAGTGGTCTTCTATGGAGGGGCGAGGAGCGGAGTTTGGGGGCGTGTTACCCTCATGATAGAATCACAGAAGGGTAGATAGAATGTCAGGGCTGCAAGGAGCCCGAACAATCCCCAAAAGCCCAGGGGTTCTTAACTGGCTGACGTGATGGGCCACATCTTAGCACCTTGAAATGTGCTTTTGATGAGGGCCATGACTAATCACATTAGCAAAAAGCTTAGTCACCATCCAGGACTTAAGGACCGACCTTAATTAATACGGGAACTACACAAAGGCACTGCTCAATGCCCCTTAGGCAGCTAGGAGCACAGCGGGAATGGAAGTCAGGCCGCCCTTTCCCCAACCCCGATTCCCCCAGCTCGGACGTGATACAGAACGGTGTCTCCCGAGGGCACTAAAGGAAGGTAGAACTGCTCTAGCTGTTGGAAATTCTCAGTACTCTAACCTGCAGTGAAGCAGCGGCCGGGCTCAGAGTCCCAGCAGGAATCCGCAGGCCAGCTCAGGCCCTCACTGTGAAAAGTAGGCGCCTGGATCTGTTCTGGCTGCTACACCAGAAACCCACGGCCTGGGAGGCCTGTAAATGGCAGAAATGTGTTTCTCACGGGTCTGGTGGCCAGGAAGCCCGAGGTCGAGGCCCCTAGACGATCTGGTGTCTGCTGAGGGCATCCTCTCCCGGCGCCCACACGTGCGGGAGAGAGGGCAGCTCTGCCGGGTCTTTTTTATGAGGA